CTGACTTTCTCTGATACACTTTACAAGAAGAACTATAAGTTCTTAGAATGGTCCATGAGAGATGAACAAACTGTCAATTACTTTCTAGTTGATCGTTTTCTCAATAACGACAAGTATCAGTGTATCACATTAGTTAACTGCTTAAAGACGCAATGTAACTGATATGCGTGTGTATGAAGTATAAATATCAAAGACTTTGTTTTTATGGGTTTTTCATAGGTTCTCATCAGGATGTTCACCAAGCTGCTGCTGCGGATACTCCACAGATTATATGCCAGAACCATGAAGATTGTGATGCACGGTCATCTGAGATCAAACCCATCAAAGGTTTCCAAGCTAAAGAGCAAGTGAAAGGCCACACTGTGAGTAGTGAAATTGGATTTTTTTTTTCACCTTAATTATTGAGATATTCTGATGGAACATGTGAAATGTAAACTGACTTTCAAATCAAACTTTTGGACAGGTGAATGTTGTGAAAGGACTAAAGATGTATGAAGAGTTGCTAAAAGAAGATGAGTTAACCAAACTTATAGACCTTGTTGCTGAACTCCGAGAAGCTGGCCAAAACGGGAAGCTTTCAGGTAACTTTTTCTTACTTTAAGAGCCAAATTAAAGAGTTTTCTGGTGCTTATTCATTATCATGAATACAGGTGAGACCTTTATCCTGTTCAACAAACAGATAAAGGGGAACAAGAGAGAGCTGGTCCAGCTTGGTGTCCCAATCTTTGGCCATGTGAAGGATGAAAACACCAATGACAGCAATAACTCTGGTAAGGAATCGCTCTGATCTGCAAGGACTCGGCCTAAATGGTTTGTTGCAAGTAGTTGGCTTGACCAGGAGAGACTTTTGTTGGTTTGCAGTTAACATTGAGCCAATTCCACCACTTCTTGAGAGTGTCATTGATCATTTTGTCACATGGAGACTCATCCCAGAATACAAGAGACCAAATGGATGTGTCATCAACTTCTTTGAAGAGGTATATGATATTTCAATGGATCAACACAATCTTCTTATCACTTTTGATTTAACTCTTAGGATTGATTATGTTCTTGTCTGCAGGGTGAATACTCACAGCCTTTCCTCAAGCCACCTCATCTTGAACAACCAATCTCAACTCTTGTCCTCTCTGAATCAACAATGGCCTTTGGACGTATTCTCTCTAGTGACAATGACGGCAACTTCAGAGGACCTTTAACTCTTCCTCTCAAACAAGGGTAAGACAAAAATACCTTTCTTGACTATTAAAAATAATGTTTTATTTTGTCTTTACTAACATCGCTTAAACCTGATCTTTGTAGATCTCTGTTGGTGATGAGAGGAAACAGTGCAGACATGGCAAGACATGTAATGTGCCCATCACAAACCAAAAGAGTAAGCATCACATTCTTTCGCGTACGTCCTGAAATAAATCACAACAGTCCTCACAATGATGGTGTAATGACAATGTGGCAACAACAACCATGTCACTATCCAATGACACCAACTCCATACCTCAATGGCTATGATCATTCACTTGAAATGATGCCAAAACTTGGAGTTCTCCGTCCACCAATGGTCTTAATGGCACCACCACCGGTTCAACCAATGGTACTACCAAGTCCCAATGTGATGGGAACCGGTAATGGTACCGGTGTTTTCTTACCATGGGCCTCAACTAGCTCAAGAAAACATGTGAAGCATTTGCCTCCACGCGCACAGAAGAAGAGGTTGCTTCCTCTTCCTCCTGCTGCATCTTCTCCAGCTGGAGAATCCACCTCTGAGCCTGTGATCAGTGTAGGTGGAGCCTGAGCCTAAAGCCAAGCCACTTCGATCTGGTCCCCATGCCTCAGCCATGTTCTGTTTCTTCTCTTTTGTTCCTGTCTTTTCTTTCTTCAAATTCAGTGTAGGTTTAACTCAGGGTTTATAGATAGAACTAAGTTTGTTAAATTCCCAGAGGCATGTGTTCTTTTCTGTTTTGTTTTTCTGTACTGTTTTATTTATCAGTCTATATTCTCAAGATCTTATCTTACCTTCCACTGCCATTAAACAAAAGCATTCAAGAGCATCAAAATGTGATTGGTGGTTTATTCTATCTGTTTCTGATACTTGACGTTTTAGATATATACGCACATGTTAAATGAGAAAACATTTAATTTTTTAGAATTTGTAGAATTTTAGAAACATTATTAACTATATACTAGATTTCGACCCGCACAACCGTGCGGGTATTTTAATACGAAATATTTGAAATTATATAATAAAATTTATCAATAAATAAGTATAATTTGATTATTTATGCCATCTAATTTTATAAACATTTTTATGTGACTAATAATATTATTAATATAAAATTTATAAATTTGTATTTTTGTAATAATTTTTAAAAACATTATTATGTAAGATTACTAATTTATATATTTTGTTTTATTTCTAAATTTGAAATCTATGTAAAAATTAATTAAGTTGGACCTACATAATACATAAACAAAATTTTGGGATATTGTTAAAATTATTTTACATAATTTTAATTTTTTTGTTTATAAATTAAAAAGGAATTAAATTTTAATTATATTTTATGATAATTAAAATTTTAATCAAATAATTTTTGATACTATATCTTGAAAAAGATTCTAAAAGATTTTTAAAATATTTTGTTAGAATTTTCTTAAAACTATTTATTTGTATTTCAAACAAAAATTAAAGATATGAAAAGATATTATAATGTTATGTAAAATTTTATAAAACTCTAAAGATGGTCCAAACTAAAATATCACACATGAAGTGAGTCATGACTTCTCTTTTAATATTTTAGATGTGACGGATATATTATTTATTTAGGTATTTATCTTAATTAGTGAAAATTATCTGAAGATTTTTAATAGTTTTAAGGTTATTTGGTTTTATATAAATAAGTTTCTTATGCCATAACTTATTCAGTTTTTGGTTGATTTACACAATTCAAAAGTTTAATTGTTGTTTCTTATTTTCAGTAGATCTATAGAGATTCCAACGAGCTTATAAAGATTTTATTTACCCGGGAATTCTAAGACTAAATGAATTATCTTATGATATTCTAATTCACGGGTATTCTCGGATGCAACAGATTTGTAGTTCTATCTTATAAAACTTACTAGATTTTGACTACGGAAATTTTTTATGATTAAAAATTTATGTAAATGAGTTTTGTCTTAATTTAAAGAATATTTTGGGATAAAATCAGTTCACCAAAATTTGTGGTTATGATTGTTATTCATTAGTTTTTAGTTTCAATTTTTATTCTTAGATTTTGGTTTTTGGTTTTTAGTTTTTAAGTTTCTATTTTTGATTTTCACCTTTTGGTTTGGGTTTTTAATTTTTAGACCCGCTAAATTAGTTTAAACTGATATTACTAACAAAAAAATCCCAAATAATCGAACATCTAATTTAAAACTGAAAATATGACAAAAAAATTTTAAAAGAAATTTGCAATAGTTAATTTTGTAAATAATTAAAATCAAAAAAATATAATCTGTTTTTCAGTTTTTGGTTTTGAATTTTAGTTTTTAGATTTGGTTTTTGGTTTTGCTTTACATTTTTTTTAAATCAGTAAATTATTGAAGAGAAATAAAACAATAAATTATTTAAAAGTTACCATTGAAATTTATCAAAACAGAGTGATTGTTATTTAAAATAAAAAAATACATTAACATGTTTTAAAGTACATGATTTAAATAAATAATTAATAATAGACAATTTTGTTTGATTTAAAAATATTAAATACCTTTTGGGCTTAAAAATAATAACTGAATTTTTTATCCATTAAGGTGGAAAGTTTATTCAATATTTTTTGAATACTAAGCCCAAAAACCAAATCATAGAATTTGTTCTAAATAAGCCCAAGACTATATCTCATAAATAAACATCGGTTTAATTTAAGTAATGCGGTTCAGTTAACTATATGACTTGTATTATTTGTAACACTCTAGAAAGAGTCCAAATTTTAATGACAACTTGTATCAGTAGATAAAAAATGACTCTATTTTAATAGAATAAATGTTTCAACAGTTGGTATCCTATCTAGAGAATCCTTTAACGCTGAACTAAGACCATGAACCAGAATTAAATAAAATTTCTATAAATTAATATTCGATAAACTAATAAATTTTATATGTTCTAACTTGGACCAGTGTAAAATATGACATATATCGATAAAATAATAAGATAATAATATTTTTAAAACCCTTATGTAAATATATAGTTAAATCATAAATTAATAATATATATATATATATATATATTTTTTATATAAGTACCAACTAAACTTTGTATTGTTGATTTTATGTTCACAATGAAAATACCTCTATTTTTCTTATCATTTCTATATATTTAGTAAAATTTTATCAAAACCAAATAACAATTATATGAAACATAAAAATATACATCTATAAAAATATATGTAAAAAAAAAAATTAAGTAATGTATCTACGATAAAATCAAATATTTTTCTTATTTTATAAATCAAAATATCCTAAGATTCTAAAAAAGAAACTTTTGTAAATTAATATCCCTATAAATTAATAAAATTTTAAAATCTCAACATTATTATTTATAAATGTTCTACTGTACATATTTTCTATTTTCACCATATATAGTAAGTGAGACTATATGTATATTTCAAGATTTGCACAACTACATTTCCAAAATCATAAACACTTACTTGAATTGATTGTTCCAAGGACGGAGAGTCCATGTATGACCATGAACCAGAATACATATTTTGTATTTTCTATTACATATTTCAAGAATGGAAAACATAATTCTTTTGTTGACCAGAGAAGAGAAAAAATAAATTCAAATTCTCTTCCAAAAATAGCAAATTGAAGAAGGAATAGAATAAATATCCCATGCAAACAGATCATTATTTAACACATCACAAGTGAAAATTTTATTACAAAAACTCAGAAATTGACATCATCTTCTCTCTCTGTCTCTTTTCACCCTTTCTCATTCTCTATTGATCTTGAAACACCACTGATAACAGATGGATCTGATCTTTGTGACTCAGAGAGGTTCATCATTCTCCATTGAAGTTGGTTACTACGATAGTGTTTTAGAGATCAAAGAGAAGATTGAGAAGTATCAACGTATCCCTGTCTCCAAACAAACCCTTGTCTTCCAAAGAAAGGTTCTTCAAGATGATCACAATATCGAACAATGTAATCTCTTCAACAACTCTCGTCTCAAGCTCATCATCTCCTCTCCTGGTAACGACGACCAAAAGGGCAGCATTAAAGTGGTCAAAACCGAGCAGTCTCCATAGCAAAACTCAACAGTTTCCGATGGCTCTTAATGGTCGGATGTAATCTTTTTTTTTGCTGTGTATGAACATGTTAAGGTCGGATGTAATCTTTTTCCGAATAGGCTGGGTTTCAACCATTTCATGTTTCATCATACCCCAAAAAAACTTATGTATGAGCATTTCGTAACTTTAAAATCTGAATCTACATTTTATATGAGCTGTAGAACTAGCCAGAGGTCAAGTCTTCCCCGCTATTCTAACTCTAAATCCCGGTCGCATAGCTGCCCGGCTCCTTAGTAAGCATAGGAACCCTCCCGCAGGGAGCTGTAGCCACCTGACTAGAGGGACTGAGAAATTAATAGAGTACAAAATTTATCTTCAAGCTTTATCTTATTCTGATCGTTCAGAATAATAATTGGGACATGAGAGACCTTCTTAAGTATTGCAAAAGAAAGGGCCTGCTGATAGAGTCGAACATATACAGTAAGTTGTTTAAAAAAAATCAGATATTATGCTTAATCTAAGAGCATGCCCATCAGCGATTCTGACTAGACACGAAATCCTAGGTTAGTTTTCAATTTTTTTTTTGGTTTGACTTTTTCAAAAGAAAAAAAAAATCAGCGAATCGTGGCCCACCACGTGGCAAACCAATGACGATCCGGGTTCACCACGGTGAGTTCACGCGACGCGGGTTCACCACTTTTTACCTCAAAAAACGTGTGAACCTTCCTTACAATCTCCCAATGAGGATGCTCTAATAACTAATAAGGATGAATGAGTATCCGAAAAATCCAAAATTATTCGAAGATCTGAAATATTATTTTAAATGAGTGCTCGAAGCTGAAAAAATATCTCAAAAATGTATTTATATTTATTTTGATAAAAAATACTCAAACTAAAAGTATTATAAATCAAATTTGAAATGAGTTCAAATCCAAAATAGATCGATCAGTCATAAAATTTACCTTACTCTAAATTATTATTAACCGAATTTGATCTGTACATATATAAAATTTGAATAAGGTGTAGAAAACTGAACCCGGAAAACTCAATTTGAACGTTCATCGAATGGATATCCAAACATCAAGACCTAAAGATGCTTATTTCACCATTGGATTATTTGAGTGAGAATTTATTTGACACATGCTTTTGTTAACTTAAGATACACAGGGCCGGCTCGAGTAAATCAAGGATCACTGGGCAAACTAGTTTTCAAAATTCTTCTTCCATATATTTATGGATAATTTAAAATAATTGGACCCTTATTCTTAATTTTTATAAAAAAAGTTGAATCCCTTTTTAACATTGTTTATCTAAAAAAGTTTGGACCTCGCCTCCTTGTCCTTATGCCTAAGCCGGCCCTGACTATACACATAGGCGAATCTAGGCCAGGTCGAAACAAAATCCATCTGATAAGTCTCCACTGAGCAGAGAGGTCATTAACATTACAGATTCGCCGGTGAACGTGAAGAGATTAAGAAGGCCGCTGCAGAGACTGAGAGTAGTGGATTTGCCACATTCCCATGATAATGAACCTGTGAGTAAGGTTCCGGTAAGTGTGATTGCTAGTGAGAATGTTGAAGAGCTATAACCATTCAGTAAGCAACAGACTCGAGTCTTTTTATTCATTCAATGGGCAAAGAATTTGATTCTCCATTGCAGTAAGGTTATTCGTTAGTTTTGATTACCAAAGTACCTAATCTAGTGTTCCAACTCAAGGCAAACGGATAACTATAAAATCAACTCAAGGTAAGACACAAATACGATGACCATCCATTAACTTATGAGACACGTAACCAATAAGGTGAATCTAAGCCAGGCCCAAACAAAACCCATTTGATACGTGAAACTAGATAATCTAAACCAAATTGTGTAAAAACGTTAGTTATAGATCATCCTCTCTCTCTCTCTCTACGCTCTCTTTGGCTCTCTCTCTCTTTCTTCTTCATCAGTCATGCTGCTCTTCGTAGACACTGCGTATGGCTCAACGTTCTACATCGAACTGAATCTCAACGATAAGGTGTTAGACATCAAAAACAAGATCGAGAACTCTCAAGGCATCCCTGTCTCCATGCAAACCCTTTACTACAACGGCGAGCCTCTTCTCCTAGACTATCTTGATCTTAACACATATAACATCGTCGCAAACTCTCGCCTCTTTCTCGTCTTACCTCATCAAGAAGACAACAACAACAGTCAAGTGCTGCTTCAGCCAACAGATCAGCAATCTCTAGCTCCATCAACCTCGGTTCAAGATTCGCTCGGAGAGTTTCAAGATTGGTCTGCGACTGCGAGGAGTATCTTCCGTCGTCAGATGCTTGATGATCAACCTGAACAATCTCCCGCACCGCCTGCGATGGCGAGACATGACGACAAGAATCAAGATTTGCTACAAAGTGAGCTACCATCTCCGTCTGACATATTCGGAGAGGATCTTCTTTTGCCAACAGAGCTTTTCAGTAACATACAAAGTCACTTGCTTAATAGTACAACCGACAAGAGCATTGATAACAGTAACGTGTTTAACAAGGAACAGTCTTCAAACACATTTGGATTCGCTGAGGATCCTCCTTTGCCAACAGAGTTTTTCAGTAACATTGGAAGTCAGTGGTCTACGAGTACAACCGCGAAGAGCATCGATAACAGTAACGTGTTTAACAAGGAACAGTCTTCAACAACATTTGGATTCCCTGAGGATCCTCCTTTGCCAGAAGAATTTTTCAGGAACATTGGAAGTCACTCTGCAAGTACAACCGAGAAGAGCATCGACAACAGTAACTTGTTTAACACGGAACAGTCTTCAACAACATTTGGAGACTTATTGTTCGATGAGGATCCTCCTTTGCCAGCAGAAGTTTTCAATAACATTGGAAGTCACTCTGCAAGTACAACCGAGAAGAGCATGGACAACAGTAACGTGTCTCACACGGAACAGTCTACATCAAACACATTTGGAGACTTACTGTTCGATGAGGATTCTCTGGCAGCAGAATTTTTCAGTAACATTGGAAGTCACCGGCCTGCAAGTACAACCGAGAAGAAGAGCATTGACAACAGTAACTTGTTTCACACGGAACAGTCTTCAACAACATTTGAAGACTCGTTGTTCGGTGAGGATCCTCTTTTCCCAGCTGAACACTTCGCTGACATTGCAAGTTTCATGCCTGAGAGTACAACAGAAGATATCTTCATCAACAAGCAACCTCCAGCCGAGAAGTCTCCAAAGATGAAAGAGGTCATTAACGTTCCAGATTCGCCTGCGAAAGTGAGGAGATTCAGAAGGCAACCGCAGAGAATGAGAGTAATGATATTACCACATTCTCCTGATAATGAACCTGTGAGTAAGGTTCCTGTTAGTGTGGTGGCTAATGAGAACGTTGAGGAGCTGAGGAAAGAGCTGGAGAAGCTTCGAGAGAGGAATGAGTTAAAGCTACCTGAGAAAGGGTACTTCTTTATACACAAACAAGAAGTGTTGGACGATGACAAGTCATTCCTATGGAACGGTGTAGCTCACGGTGACACTATTGAGATTTTTCCAGGATATGTTACTAAGGAGGGCCGTACATTTGGTATTTAATTCTTGCGTAGTCTCTCCTCTGTCTTTATAGTTTGTTGAACACTTGGAGTTCTGTTTTGATGGGATGGTGTAAATGATGTTTTGTGTTTTTGAATTCCACTATGATGTGACATTATAAGAACATATATAATGAATGATCAAATGTTTTGTTGAAAAAAGAAAAGGAAAAAGGCTGTAATGGTGTCATCACTAGACATTTATCACAATCCTAGTTGCAAGATTGAGTGACCAGGAGATACTCTGAATGACTTAAAAACCCTGATTAGAGAGTGAGAGAGATAACTTTAGGGATAAGCTAGAGAACACCTTTGCTCGGAATTTACAAACATCCTTCTGCAACACCAACACTCTAGAACCATTTTTTCTTAGATAAGGTAAAGAGCAGATCATATCAAGCAAATAAAAAAAAAAAAAAATTGACTTCAGAAGCAAGCTTAACGTCGTCCACAAGTCTCATCTCAACTTCGTCATCTCTCCTAACCATAATAACCCTAATCACAGCAAAGATCAATTAAGTGCTTCATCAAGTTGAGAAATCTCTTCTACCCTCAAATTATATATACAAATCAGTGATCCTTAGATTAAGCTCTACTCTCTGCAGTCTCCTAAACATTTCATAGTGTTCAGTTTTCTCTTGAAATTTATTGCATTTTTCAAACTAAAACAATTAAAATCACATTGATTGACTCCCTACACTTATACCCTGTGTATGAAGGTACAACCAAAAACTTAAAAATCTTCATAGGTTCTCATAAGTAACACTCATGAGTTGTTCCCCCAAAATACTGCTGCAGTCTGCAAATCATTGGCTACTTACGGCACACAGATTATATCACCACGATCATTTGCAATCATGTACATAAAAAGAGAATGTAATGGATTATGACACCATGTTGATAAACGGCATACAAATTGTTAATCTTCAATGGTAATGCTATACAAAAAAAAGTTATGTATTACTTACAAAAACAAAAAAATGAGACACTAATTGTTCAAACATGATAAACAAAACTTGATTTTTACCAAAAAAAAAAATTAAAACTTGATCAAGATCAATCTCCAAGAAGAAAAATCATCAATCTAGGTGAGAAAAGCACCATACCATCTTTTAAATCACTGAATCAATCTAGAAATTAAATACTAATTCACATCCAGAGAAAAGAAATCACAGAATAACGACTTGGACTTGAGAGGAAAGATCAATGAAATACTAAAATGTAAATTCTGATTGAAGAGTCGTTGAGCACCAGTGGTCTAGTGGTAGAATAGTACCCTGCCACGGTACAGACCCGGGTTCGATTCCCGGCTGGTGCATTTTTTTCGATTCAAGAAACAAATTGCGGAGGAATAGAGACGGGTCAATATTTCGGGTTATTAGGTCGAAACTACTTTTAAAATAACTCTGGTGAACCTCTGTATTACACAAGAGATGCTTAATGTGCCGTTGGATCATTTTAGGAAGAAAAATAAATTAAACCTTGCGTCACAAGTCAAAGCACTTTCCTCGCTTTCGCTCTCCCTCTCTTTCTTCACCAGTATCCACCATTGGATACAGTTATGGAGTTGTTCTTCGAGCGCAATAAAGTCGTTATATTCTCCATGAAAATAGATCCCTCGGCTACAGTTCTAGAGATGAAACAAAAGATCGAAAAGTCTTATGGCATCTCTGTTTCCAACCAAACTATTTTCTTCAAAGGCAAGATCTTAAATACAGATCGAGACTCTCACACTCTCAACCAATGCAAGATCGTCAACAAATCACGTCTCGAGTTTTACTTCTGCCGTTCACGTCACATCAGGGAAGTGCGTCAGCGAAGAGAGCAATCTCGAGCTCCGTCGGTTAAAGGTGTCATTAACATTGAAGACTCGCCTGAAAAGAATCAAGATTCGAGCAACGACGATCATCAAACCGAGAAGTCTCTAGTACCACCACCATCATATACACTTGATGAGATCTTTGGCACTCAAACGGAAGGAAACGTTAGTGTTCAAGAACCATCGTGGAGCAACGAAAACCTTCAAGATTGGTTTCAAAGCGAGTCATCTTCTACGCCAAACATATTTGGAGACTTCTCGTTCGGTGAGGATGTTCCTTTGTTAACAGATGATGTCACTAACATTCAAAGCTTCGGCTATACGAGTACAACTCAAGAACAACAGAGGATCAACGCTCAAGATGATGTTCCTTTGTCATTTGGAGACTTCTCGTTCGTTGAGGATGTTCGTCCTTTGTCAAAAGATTTTTTCGCTAACATTCAAAGCTTCGACTATACGAGTACAACTCAAGAACAGAGGGATGAAGGCAGTAGTCAAGTGGTTCAGACCGAGAAAACTCCGCGGATCAGAGAGGTGATTGACATTCCAGATTCACCTGAGGGTAGCAGCAAAAAACGAGCGAAGAAACTTTTGAGGGTAATGGTGTTGTCATTTCCTATTAAGGATACACCTGGGAGGAAGTTTCCTGTGGAGGTGAACCCGAGTGACAACGTTGAAGTACTGAGGACAGAGCTGGCGAAGATGCAACAGAGGTCTCAGTTGCTTTTGCCTGAAGAAGGCTACTTCTTTATACACAAAACGAGAATGTTGAACGAGAAGCAGTCATTCCGTTGGAACCGTGTTGATCAGGGAGATACAATTGAGATTTTTCCAGGAATTGTTGCCGATGACAATCGTACAAACACTCGAACGTAAACTATGTGCAGTATGTTCTTCTTTCCTTCACAGCTTTCTGCAAATATATGCTGAGAGAAATGTAATTACCGGTATGAGCTAATAAGAAGAGAAACTGTGTTCCTGTTGTTGGACACTTTAAATGATATGTCATTACAGGAACAAATATAAAGATCAATGACAAACAAAACTATAGATCACATTAATGGTTTATGAGAACACTTTGCAAACAAATAGTGTAGGTAAGATGTTTTCTCAGTTACATATTTTTTTCAAAAACCAATAAGACTGAGAGTTTCAAAGAGTGAACATTCATTTACTTTATTAAAGCTCGTCCTTTTGAGATTCTTGGAGGCATTGCTCATCCCAGTAGTAAGGGAACTTCAGCCTCGCCGCAGTGTGTGGCATAAACCAGTCATCGTAGGTGAAGCTGTTGGAAGAAAAAAGCAATTTCGAAATGATTAGTGAAAGGACAGAGACGCGCATATAATATCTATATCCAAAAAGGTGGAAACAGATGTTGCATACACTTTAATTGGCGGCCGAGATATAATAACCAACACCTGCAGGTCCTCTTGACCAGTGTTCTTGACCTGTAAAGAGCCATAATAAATATATGATTGTGAGTTAGTTTCATCTCACAAACCCAAAGCGTTTTTTAGCAGAACATAGCCATCTTTCTCTGATTTACTTGTATGGATTGGATATGTAGAGGATGTATATATAGAAAGGATAGATTAGTCAATACTTAACCCCTAATGACCTTATAGTCTCTATGTATATATACATTCGATATCAATAAGATTAAGCGTTCTAATCCATAGGATATACATTGATTGTCAAAAAGGCTTGTGTTCTAAATCATTGTCTGTGTAAGGCATGCAGAAAGTCTTAACACTCTCAAGCAATCATAAGCAAAAGATATGGATTTGCTCATATTTGCACAGAACTACTTCAATAAGATCTGTGCATGCTAAATTAGATTGGTTATCATCAGCCTTACACTACGTTTTCTAGCGTTTAATCAAAATTATTTTAAAGCCTTTTAACATAAGAGTGTAGACAATCATTACCTGATGAGCATCATTGATGGGAATATGAATAGTACTGTTGGCAAAGATTGGAAAATCAATAGGTTTCCCAGGAAAACTTCCATGTGTTTCAGCGAGATACAGAGTACCACTTCCCTTTAGAACAACGAAAACCTCTTCACAAGAGTGCCTGTGAATCGGTGTCCCTGAACCTGGAGCAAATGTTTGAAGCCATATCTCAACCTGCAAAAAATAAAAAAACAAACCGTTGTTAACTGTTTTATATAGTGTTTAAAAATCCAAACATGAAAAAAATCAACCAAAATTTGAAAAACAACTACCTCTTTCATTCCGTGCAAAACTGAGCCAGCAACAGTCATGTGAGAAAGGCCTGGCCTTCCATAGTTATCCTGAGGAAGGTCACTAATATTCCTCACGATTGGAAACCCTAATTTTCAACATTCAATAGCCAAAATTAAACAGTTATAACATCGAAGTAAGTAAAGCCTTGATAAATGAGGATCCTAGTCAATCGTAAGTTCATGAGATTAGATTATATTATTCTAATTGAACTGATGAAAATGTAAAAAAAGGAGGAAATCTGCATTTGAATATCGAAGCAATCATATGTTAAGAGTATGGAAGAAAAGGGAGAGAGCAATTCACACCATTGATCGGACAAGGCGCTCCAAGAGTAGATTCAGAGAAGTAGAACAGAAGAAGCGCGACGGAGAAGACGGCGGCGATCGGTGATGATGAAGATGAACTAACCGAAAGTAGGATCATTGCTTTCTCGATGCTTCGTTAAGTTTAACCACTTTTTCTCTCTTTAGAACTCTCCGAACTTATTAAAGATGAAAATACTTCGAAATAGCCCCATAACTTTGTCGATTTCTACATGTACCCCAGGGCTTTTCAAATGTTCGGATATTATTGTTGTCTATATGAAGTTTAAATTAATTTGGTAAATATATATACTAGTTTGTTTCTAAAATATATAAGTTTCAATTAGAATATTTAAAAACCTTATTATATTATGTCAACTATTTGGGGATAAGATTTCAATTTTTGAAAAACAAAAAAATTTAAAAAAATTTCAAAACATAAAATGCTATTTTGGTCATTTTAGTTTTTGAGGACTATTTTTGTGATATAAACTTAGAAGAATGCTATGTTAGAGATTTGCCCAATATATATACTAGTTTGTTTCTAAAAAATATAATTTTCAATTAGTATTTAAAACCTTATTAAATTATGTCAACTATTTGAAAATTCAACATACCTACGGTATATAAAATATATAATTTGAACTAGAAAGTTAATTAAAAACTACAGTGCTAAACAAAGTTAAAAGTTTTTTTTATATTTTATAATATTTAAAAGAAAAAATCAATTTCAAATCAAAACTATTTAAAACCAAGAAAAAATATAATGTTTATATTTCTATTTAGTTAATTATTCAAAAAAAAATCTACTTTATTTTCACATTTTTCTATTTTTTTTTTAAAAAGCATAAATTATTATACAAGTAATTTTTCTCAAGTTTATATTTTATAGTATAACTTTCTGTTTTTTAAAAAAAAAAATATATAGAAATGGTTTAATCATAGTTAATAACTTAATACTGGCAAAGTAGACATATGGACTACTTGGAAACACTTCAGATAACATGGGGCGGTTAATGAAAATATAAGAACATAAGGGGTAGAGCATCAATAAATCGGATAAAACATCTGAAGAGAGAGAGAGAACTGACATGTTGTGATGAGCAGTCTCGTTCTCCTCTGAACGAACCTTACCCGCTCCTCTAAAACCCTCTCGCTTCTCCGATACCTCTCCGGTGAGATTCCATCTCTAAATTATATCTACCACTGATACTTATCTCAATTTCATAGTATCTACGGTTAGCTTCTCTAATTACCCTTCTGTTATTCTCATCGTTTATATTAATACCACTGAAAACGAATGTTGATTTTGTTGGGTTAGAAATCTTTTAAATTTTAGTATATCTACGAATTTTTCTGAGAAATTATCATTTACAGGTTCCTGGGTTACTCAAATCATCACAAAAGGATGAAGCTTAGGCTCTGTAGCGGCTTCACCAAACCTGGCTTCTTACTAGTCCACTTCACACCACCATCTTTTCAATCACTCTCTCACAAGAAAGGACATGGGTTAGGTCTAAAACTCCACTGTGCTATTGCAAGTCGCAGACTTTCCTCAAACTCACCCAGAAGAGAAAGGTCTCGCCCCTCTTCACCACGTGACAAAGACAAAGCAAAGAGAGAGTCACAGTCCTTGTACACTCGTCCAAGCTTACTAGAAATGAACAAGGAGAAAGCAGCTAACCGCGTTAGAGTCTACGACTTCCTCCGTGGAGTTGGTATCATCCCCGACGAGCTTGACGGTCTCGAGCTTCCCGTAACACCCGATGTGATGAAGGAACGTGTAGATTTCCTCCACAAGTTAGGGCTTACAATTGAAGACATTAACAACTACCCTCTTGTTCTTGGCTGCAGCGTGAAGAAGAACATGGTTCCGGTGTTGGATTATTTAGGGAAGTTAGGTGTGAGGAAGTCTACTTTCACTGAGTTTCTGAGAAGGTACCCTCAGGTTTTGCACGCTAGTGTTGTGATTGATCTTGCACCGGTTGTTAAGTATCTCCAAGGGCTTGATATCAAACCTGTTGATGTGCCTAGAGTTCTTGAGAGGTATCCAGAGGTTTTAGGGTTTAAGCTTGAAGGGACTATGAGTACTTCGGTTGCTTATCTTGTTGGTATAGGTGTAGCTAGGAGGGAGATTGGTGGGATTTTGACTCGTTATCCCGAGGTTTTGGGGATGCGTGTAGCTAGAGTGATTAAGCCTCTTGTTGAGTATCTTGAGGGTTTAGGTATTCCTAAACTGGCTGTTGCTAGGTTGATTGAGAAGCGTCCTCACATTCTCGGGTTTGAGTTGGATGATACTGTGAAAAGAAACGTGGAAACCTTGCGAGAGTTTAACGTTAGGGAAGGTTATCTTCCTTCTGTGATTGCGCAGTATCCTGAGATCATGGGGATAGATCTTAAACCGAAGCTCGAGGCGCAGAGGAAGCTGCTTTCTTCAGCTATTGAGCTAAACCCTGAGGATTTAGGCTCTTTAATCGAGAGGATGCCTCAGTTTGTTAGCTTGAGCGAGGCGCCTATGGTGAAGCACATTGGTTTCCTCAAAGAGTGTGGCTTCTCGATTGATCAGACGAGGGAGATGGTGATAGGGTGTCCTCAGGTTCTTGCTTTGAACATTGGGATAATGAAGCTTAGCTTTGAGTATTTTAAAAAGGAGATGAGAAGACCTCTTCAGGATCTTGTGGACTTCCCTGCGTTCTTTACATATGGGTTGGAGTCAACGGTGAAGCCGAGGCACAAGAGGGTATTCAAGAAGGGGATTAAATGTTCGTTGGCTTGGATGTTGAACTGTTCAGAGGAGAAGTTTGAGCAGAGAATGAGTTATGATACTATAGATATAGAGGAAGTTGAGTCCAGTCCAGCTTCTTTTGACATGAGTACATTGATGCAACCTGAAAGAGAGGAGGAGGAGTCTGATTCTGAGTACGAGGAAGAGGAAGATGATGAGGACGAGGAGTTTGCGTAAACCAGAGAGATGATGAACAAAGAGGTCAAGGTGAAGATTCGGACAATGAAGTGGGAAGTAAAAGGTTTTTGTGTCTTGATGGTTGATCAGTTCGAACAGAACACAGATTCTTTGTTGAACAGAATCTCTCCTATCGTTGTAACGATTCTTTTTGTTCATGTTGATGACAGAACGATGTTAGTATTCAGACATTGAATTCGAAGTATAAGTTTGTGTCTTAATGAGTGAGTGGAGAATGATTTGCTTTAAAATTCGAACATAACAGATTCTTCCTAGTTGATAACAGAACAAGAATGTAATAATAATGTCTTTTCTCATAATGATTTTGCTTTTAATTCGAACAGAAGAATCAGAAGATATTCTTTGTTGATCAGAATATCTCCTCGTCTTTGGATCCATTCTTTCTGTTCATCTTGATTAGGCTGACATTTTGATCCAAACCGAACAATTTTTTTTATTTATTTTTGGTTCAATGTTTGGTTATGATTCAGTTCAGCAAATAAGAAAACAATTTGGTTATCAATTCTGTTTGGTATTTTGTCGGGTGTCCAATTTAAAAAAAAACTAATAATAATATTCGAACCATATTAATTTTAACAAATTTCAAAATGAAAAAAAAAATATATTAAAAAATAACTAAATTAACCGAAATTAATCAAACGACCTCCAACTTTTAACCAAAACTAAATTGAAACAGAAATTTTTGGTGAATTTTGATAAAATTTTCATGAACCGAACCGACACACCGCTGAACCAAACCATAAAAATATTCATTTGGTTCAACACAATTAGTATACGTGTTAAGTAAATTTTAACTTATTACAACAGAATTAACCGTTCGAACCAAACCTGAAGCCTACTCTTGATAACAGTCTGGTAATAAATTCACATAATGACCAAACTACCCTCCCAGGGGCAAATCAGTAATATTGAGTTTCCAGCACCAACCCTCCTCTTGTCACAAAGAAAAAAAGAAGCTCACGATCAATTCTATTCGGCTCTTCCTCCTTTGTTCTCGCCACGCACTTCCTGTCTTCTCCTCACAGTACATCTCTCTGTCTGAAACACTCTTAATTCATCGATCTCTCAATTCTCCTCCGATCATCTTCCCCCTCAGCGATCCAATTCAATTCCGGTCAGTTTTTTTATTTATTTATTGAATTGATCAATTTTCAATCTAGATTCGATGTAGTTCTTAATATTACCTTCATGTATCTGCCTGTTTTGAATTGCGTTTGATTATCTTTCATTGAATCTTTCAAAACGCGTTTTCTAAACGCAATCGTTTTTTTTTCTTGGCCACAGTCTCAGGTAAATGGTTCAGAAGCAAGAAGAAATGAATGAGTGTGTTGTTACTTCTCTGAACGGTGCCAAAGTGGGAGTGTCATCACCACCAACACCACAACCACAAGGGAAAGGAAGAAAGAACAAGAGAAAGTTAGCTGACCCTTGTTCTCAACCAATCACTGCTGATTCCTTAACTGAGTTCCCTCCCTATGAGTTACAACATTCCTTGAAATTTCAAAACCCTTTGTCTGAAACAGAGTCTGAGTCCTTAGGATGGGATGATCCCTTTGCCTGTTATCTCGAAGATCTTTTGTCATCTAATCTGTTTGCTCTCTTCCGTAACGCAATGGATCAGATTGTGAGCTTTGGGTACAGAGAGGACGTTGTGCTGAAAGCCATCTCAGGGAGTAGACTCTACTGTGGAGGGAATGATCTTGTTTCCAACATTGTTAATGATACTTTGAGTTTCTTGAAGAGTGGGAAAAAGGTCTCTGGTTTGAGAGACTATGTGTTTGAGGATCTGCAGCAGCTTGTTGCTTATACTTTGGTGGAGAAGATAAGTCTTGTTAAAGAAGTTAGACCGTCGGTTTCGACGGTTGAAGCGATGTGGAGGTTGTTGATGTGTGACTTGAATGTTTTCCAAGCTTTTGAGATGGAAGGAGATGGGTTGGAAGGGTCTTTAAGTTTCAATCCAGGTGCTGAGTGTAATCATACAAAGTCTAGTGACTTGGATAACACTAATAATAAGAGTGAGCCTGTAAAGTTTGGGAACTTCAAGAACTGTCTTGCTTCTGGTGAAGGCACTAAAACTAAAACTTTGGCTTCTACTGGTGAAAAAATAGTATCTGGTCGAAAAGGAAGAACCAAGAAAGAAGTGGCCATGATGCGGCAAAAATCATGTGTGGATAAGATTAGAACTTACAGCAAAGGGAGTGGCTATAAGACTGCAAGGTTTGCGTCGATGGGAGGGTTTCTTGTGGAGAAAAGAGGAAAATCACCTTCTGATTTGGCGAGAAACTCTTCATCAAAGACAACATCAGAGGCTGAGAGTAACAACAATACTAAGTCTGATCTGCCTTTGATAGATGGGAGTGGATATATTACTGCCTTACCTGCTACACCATTAGCTTTAGTGAAGAAGTCTGGTTCTTCTGAGTCTGAAGAAAAGGCAGCTCCAGATTACTACACTGGGATCCCTTATGATGTATCTCTAGGGATATATGTTCCTAGAAACAAAAGAGATGAACTGGTGTTGAAGCTAGTTCCAAGAATGAAAGATCTTCAGAATGAGCTTCAGGTTTGGACTGATTGGGCCAATCAGAAAGTAAAGCAGGCAACTAGCAGACTTCTCAAGGACCAACCTGAGCTTAAGGCACTAAGGAAAGAGAAAGAAGAGGCAGAAGAGTTGAGAAAAGAGAAGCAGTTACTGGAAGAGAACAATATGAAGAGGCGGTCTGAGATGGAGTTTGCCTTGAATAACATGACTAGACATCTCGAGAAAGCGAACAACGCAGTTCGCAGGCTGGAGATGGAACAGTCTCTGTTGAAGAAAGAGAGGGAAGCTGCTAACATAAGAGCTGCTGAGGCTGCTGCGAGCTGTATAGAGGCCAAGGAGAGAGTGCAAAAGACGTTGAAGAGTACTCAGTCTTGGGAAGGGCAAAAGGTTTTGTTACAAGAAGAGCTCAAGAGTCAAAGGGACAAGGTGGCAGAGCTGCAGCAAGAAGTATCCAAAGCCGAAAATCGCCATAACCGAATTGAGGTTAGACAAAAAGCCTTTGCAACGTATATTAGGTCTTCTTGTTTGATTACTGATCATATCCTTCAACAGAGAAGGTATCTTTTGGTTCTTTGCATCAAGATGTGTTGATTAGGAGTGGTCGGTATGTGAAAGATTGTAGTGTCAAAGTGCAGAAGATATGATGAGAGATAACTAATGAAACTAAGTTGCAGGCTACTTGGAAACAAGAAAAGGCAGCAAAGGAGAAACTTGTTGCTCAAGCGGCTGCACTAGAGGAAGAGAGAGTGAAACTGGAAGAACTTGGAAAAGCAGAAGAAGAGAGAATCAAAACAAAGGCAGAGAACGATGTGAGATACTACACTGAGAACATTAAGAGACTCGAGAGCGAGATCTCAAAGCTGAAACTCAAATCAGATTGTTTGAAGATAGCTGCGTTGAAGAAAGGTATTGATGGAAGCAATGGAGGTAACAAGAACGGAATGAGTCACACCACCACCACCACAAAGGCAAACCTGATTTGGGAGAACAATCATGGGACAGAGGGAAAGATCAAAAGGGAGAGGGAATGTGTGATGTGTTTGTCTGAAGAGATGAGTGTGATTTTCTTGCCTTGTGCTCATCAGGTTCTTTGCTCAAAATGCAATCAGCTTCATGAGAAGGAAGCCATGGAGGATTGTCCATCTTGTCGGGCCAAGATCCAGAGGAGGATCCAGGCTCGTTTTGCTCGCGGGTAAAGCTTTTTCTCTGCTCAGGTTTTCGAATCATTATGGCAATGAAGGTTTTGCTTTGGTTGTTTTCTCTTTGAATTGCTCTTATTACATCAGTTACATCTAAATTATACACACATCTTGTAAAGGGTGACTTTACATTTGCTCATTTTCATATATCCATCAGTAATAAATGGGAGAGGCTCTGCCGACTTTCTTTACAGTTACATTTTTGTTTAAAGTTTGGTCTTGATTTTACTACACGCTATATGTTTGTGATAGTTGCACTTAGCCCGGTTTGTTTAATATAGTTTTCGATTTTTTGGTTTTAGAGATATAAGATCCCATCGGTTCTGTTTCGGTTTCAGTTATTCCGGTTTTTGGTTCGGACAATAAGATTATGAACCAGCTAATATCAAATAAAATTTTAAATTCTGTTTTGGTTTTGATCGAATAGTTTTGGTTAATCGAGGTAAAATTTATGGATAGTTTTTTGTTTTTGAAGAAAATATTGGATAATTCGATATTTTAGATAACTCAGATAGTTTAAAATATTTTGAACAAAAAATATTTGCATAATTCAGTTTATAAATAATATTTTTTGAATTTTTTAACATCATTTTTAGAATTTTGTTATTTCAAAATTAAATAATTAATATTTTGTTATTTCAGTATCATTCGATTTATGGTTCTGGTTTGGTTTTGGTTCAAATAAAGATATGTTCCGATATTTAGAAATGTGGTTCAGTTTCGGTTTAAGTTTAGTACGGTTTTATTATACAGTTCCGAATAAATGTGGCCATGCCTATTTGCATTCTTGCGTCTTGCTCACTGTGACAAAATTCATAATGACAAGTGATACTTTTCATATATGATTTTTGATAATGATATTCATATGGCAATGGCTTTTATCCATATCACTCTAGGTTTGATAGTACTCTTGTGTGCTTAGCAGTAAAGCAAAACGCTTTTAATAAGAGCTTATGAATACTATGCGACCCTTTTGTTATCATCACAACGTGTGGATGAATCAACCTTTAAACTAATAATTTCCCTCTATCAAAATGCACAAGTGGTTGTATTATGATGCATATAGTTCATTAGTCTTGTAGGCGTATGATTAGCAATTTAACTTATTTTCTAGGACATGATTATCGACAATTGATAATGGTTATATATACTAGCTTATCTTTCTAGGTAGCGATTGATATTACATGGTCCCATCATATATGCGTCCTAGTTAATGTGCACACATGCAGTTAAAACTTAAAAGATTGTTCTAATTCAGGAATGAATCATTCTAACTATATCGGTGTGATCAAATCATTAGAAGTCGTAGTAGTTTTTTCTTTGTGTAGTGTCAAGTCTTGGACAATAAAGGAAACACGGTGGAATTGATAGATGGAGTGAAAATGACGACTCATAGATCATAACATTAATCTCTCGGTGCTCTCTATCAAGCATCATTATCATGATTCATGAACAACATCAAAGATTTCTGAGTTTTTGTTTTTGGTTTCACAATAAGCTTTGGCGTGCAGATCGGTGCAAAGTGACCATGACGACTGAGAGGATACAAACACACATTCCAAACAGGTGTGCACATTCTCTCTATCAGTGGGACCATGATTTTTTTTAGACTACTAACGTTTTCTTCTTTGGCTTTGATCACTTGGAATTTTCTCTATTGGCTTATAAATTCGATGCAATAAACCATATAATATTTTATTTAAACCTAATAATTTCACCTAAAATATAATAAACCATGGTGAGGAAAAGCAAAACTAAAGCAACACTGTTTTGTATGCTAAATCATGTTTTAGATCCAGCTAAATAACAAAACATACTAAACTCCAAAATTTTGTGAATACCAAAATGGTATTGAGTATAATGATTTTTCCTAAGAAGCAGAAGTGAGTCTATGTTTTTTTGTCATCTGAACTTTATTAAAACCAACAAAAACACAGATAAAAAATATTTTTCATATACATAAATATATATATATATATATGGGGTTCGAATTAATTAATATACTTTTGTAAATTAATGGAGATAAATTTATAAGAACGTTGTAAATTAATACAAGAATATCATGCATGGAAAATCCAAGCTCTCATGTATTTTGGTAAACCTTTTATTGAACTTTTTTTATAATTATTCTCAAAAGATATGTAATAAAAATTGTTACTATAACCCAAGTAGCTGACTTGTCCAGACATTGCATATACGTGGCACATGACTTACGACCCCACCACCACAGTCCACAGTCCACAGGCTCTTCTATCTCCGTAAGCTGCTGATCTGTCACTCCGAACCTTAGGTTCGGACGGCCGTTTTCCCTGTTTACATAAAAAAATAAGTGATTTTAATATTACTGACACAAAAACGAATCATAAATGTAAAACACTTTTCATTCTACAATTTATTACTCTTTTCTTCACAAAGTCACCAACCATCCCTACCAAACCAAAAAGCAGAGGAGGAAGAACAAAGAAGAAAGAACCCTTGATTTCGCTTCCTTCTCAAGCCATCTTGATTACCTTTCTTTTCTCCCTCTCTCTCTCACACACTTCTCTTCGAAGTAATCTTTTAAATTCTCTTTCCGACATACACGTAACGCTCCATTTGGTTTGTGTCTGAAAACTCTCTGTTTTTTTGTTTTCTGTAACGGCTAACTAACTCGAAGAACATGAGATTTGCTCCATTGAGCTTGTTCTCGTTTCTGCTTCTTCTGCTATTCACTGAGGCGATGATCAACCCAGTCGACTTCTTAGCACTACAAGCCATACGAAAGTCTCTGGACGACTCGCCGGGTTCCAACTTCTTCTCCTCCTGGGACTTCACCGCCGACCCGTGCTCCTTCGCCGGAGTCTACTGCGACGGAGACAACGTCACCGCCCTAAATCTCGGCGATCCAAGAGCCGGGTCACCCGGTTTATCGGGTCGGATCGACCCGGCTATCGGGAACCTCTACGCTTTAACGGAGCTCACAATCGTCCCGGGTCGGATCATGGGTTCTTTACCCGACACGATCTCACACTCGAAGAATCTCCGGTTCCTCGCAATCACCAGAAACTTCCTCTCCGGCGAGATTCCGGCGAGTCTCGGCGAGCTTCGCGGGCTCAGAACACTTGATCTGAGCTATAATCAGTTAACCGGGTCGATTCCTCCGTCAATCGGATCCTTACCGGATCTATCCAATTTGATTTTGTGTCATAACCACTTGAACGGGTCGCTTCCTCGGTTCCTCTCTCAGACACTAACAAGAATCGATCTCAAACGTAACAACCTAACCGGTTTAATCTCTCCAACGTCTCTCCCTCCGTCTCTACAATACTTATCTCTCGCTTGGAACCAGCTAACCGGACCGGTTAACCAGGTTTTAATTAGATTAAACCAGCTCAGCTACCTCGATCTCAGCTTAAACCGGTTCAATGGCGCAATTCCCGGTCAGATTTTCGGTTTTCCGATCACGAATCTTCAGTTACAGCGTAACTTCTTCTACGGCGTCGTTAAACCGGCGAATCAGGTGACGATCGCAACCGTTGATTTAAGCTTCAACAGATTCTCCGGTGAGATTTCTCCGCTTCTCTCCAGCGTGCAGAATCTCTATTTGAACAATAACCGGTTTACTGGTCAGGTTCCGGTTACTTTCGTGGATCGGTTATTGGCTTCCGGTATACAAACACTGTACCTTCAACATAACTTCTTGACGGGGATACAGATTAGTCCGGCGGCGGATATTCCGGTGAGCAGCTCTCTTTGTCTTCAATACAACTGTATGGTGCCACCGGTACAGACTCCGTGTCCGGTTAAGGCCGGTCCGCAGAAAACCAGACCCTCAACGCAATGCAACGAGTGGCGAGGGTAGTAATGTCATTTGAGGTAGATATGGATGTTCGGGTCCATATAATGATTCTCTCCGGTTATTTTGTTACAACTTTCGAGTTTCGAGGGTATAAAGAAAAACTATTCGTTTATTCGTTGGTGACTTTGTGAATGAGAACCATAATGCAATCAATGTATGTTTTAATTTAATCGTACGGCTTCGAATAAAACGAGCACGACCTATTTATTAACTATCTCGTTTTAATCTGTTTTTTTTTTCTTTTTTTTTTCACTTTATTTATTCAAAGTTTTTAAGTCTAAAAGTGTACTTTTGATAACATTAGATGCATAGTCTCCGCGCTTGCGCGGAGGTTGAATGCGTTATTGATGTATTGTGTAGTTTTGTGTATGAGACTTTGTTGTTTTTTTTTAATATTTGTTTATCTAACTTATCTATAATAGTGATGAATGAAACATTAGAAGTCACACAACTTAATTAGTCTGATAAAAGAATAAACATCAAATTTATATGGGTTGATATTTTCATATTTTATCTTCGTAGTGATTTTATCGAGCATTCACATTATTAGTGATTTTATCGAGCATTACTGTTATTAGTGCTTTCATGTAAAAAAATATTTTAATGGAAACAAGACAAAAAAAGACATATGTTTATTAGTGTAATTTTCTTTCTGAAATTATGTTGTATATATATATATATATATATATATATATATTTTTTTTTTAATTGTGATGTGTATGAGATTTATGGCCGATCTGAATGGTTCGGGGTAAATATTTGTTATTGAAAAATATTTTTTTTATTTTATTTGATGATTATAATTGAACTGAAATGATATTGGATATTAGAACATGATAACCTTTCTTATAAAAATATCTAAGATGGTCTCATAAAGTTTCAAATACTTAAGCCATTTTGTATCTGATGTTAAGAGTTTTCAGGGCTCCTAGTCAAATGTTGTATAGTGAAGTAAGTTGTCGAACCAGTTCTGAGGGATTTAAAAGCACCGAGAATGCAAGTACTAACTTAATCTAAGTGCAGTCGAATGTTTGGTTGGTTTTGAAGTTGACTAAAACTAAAATGCAAATAACAAAAATGATACTTTTAAACTATTGGGAAGGAGAACTCATGGGTATTGGGATTTAGACCTTGGGTGATCAGGTTTCAAACTAAGATGGCAAGCTATCAATTAAACTGTCTGTCTTAGGCCTAGATACGATTCTAAACAAGCTCTATGTCTAGATGAATGTTCATTTGCTAACACATCTCAAGCATCAAATGTCTTTGGTTGAATAACATGCAAGCAATCATTAAGAACGGATCTAATAGCCATTTTAACACCTTTAACAACAAGTGTCCCTGGTAAAGACTGTTAAAAGCTTAAAGGAGTTGACNAGAGTTTTTGTGTTCTTTCAATAATCAAAAAAATAATCTGCCAAAAGGTGGCTACAAGGTGCTTAAACATTAGGTTTTCCAAGTGCAAAAAACGTGCACAACAATTGCAAAAAGGTCCTTAGAAAATCATAAAATCGTCACAAGAAATAGACGCGCAGCGGCCAGGCACACCCGCTGCACCCCGGCCGCTGTGTGGGATATATGCGGGTGGAGCGGCTAGGGTGACCCGCTCCAGGCACCCGCTGCAATTCAAGGCGCGCGGCTGGTTGGAGCCGCTGTGGGTCGGTCGCTGCGCTTGGGAGCGGCTTGGCTCACCCGCTCCATGTTGCCCGCTGTGAGTGTCTGGCTACAGCGACCAGGCAGGGCCGCTGTGAATCGGTCGCTGTGGCTCTCTCCGGGTCTAGATCACTCCTTTTGCTTCTTTTGAGCCTCTAATGAACCCCAAATGTCTCCAAAGCTTCCATGTGAAACTCCAATACCTAAAGGGGACTCATGTATGCAAAATGCAACCTAAACATGGCTAGAACCTAACCTACATGATGAAAAGGTATGCAAAAGAGTAGATAAAACAATG